GCCATCCGCCCTTGGGGGATGATTTCTCACTTTCCCTCTTACTATCTCTGATGCGTGGGTGCGCTGTAGAGTAAAAACCTTAAAAAAAAAAAAGAACTCAATATATGTTTTGGTTTTAAACATTTGGCCAAGAAAGAATATCTAGTGATTTCATCACAATTACTTGGCAATTAAAATTTTTCTCTAATTTGATATTTAAGAAGAAATAAACCTACGAGCACAGAATACCAAGTGTTTCCTTTTTTAGTTTTTCTTTTTTTCTTCTTTTTTTGGAGAGGTTTTTGCTATAGTTTTTTCTTTTGAGAGATTTTTGCTGTAGGGTATGTGCAATCACGAGAGAGATGGAAAGACAGAAAGCGAGAAATCACACCCGAAGGGGATGACCTCACCGCAATCCCTTCTCCTCCATTCTCCTCTTGGGATTTCGGGCAAACATGCACACAAACCCAGCATGAGCTTCAAGCTGCCAGGTCCGGCACTTGAGCTGTGGTTAACTACCTGGGAGTCCAGAGACATAAACATGACACCATCTACTGGTCCCCCTCGTGGGGTAATTTTAAGCTTAGTGGTTCTGATGCAGGTGGACCGACGATTGCACATTTAGAAACAACAGTACACGGGGCGGGCCGGTCCATCGCAGATGCAGAGCGGCCCATGGGCCATGTGGCCTGGCTCCGTGACCAGCGTGCCCCCGCCTCGGTCCCTTATGCTCGTGCAGCTGAGCTCTCTGCGCGGTCCAGACGGCAGCCCCGGACACCACGTGCTGCTTTTACTCCCAGCCTGGCCCTGGCCCCACTCCGTGTCACCACGTCGCTTGGGAAGGCCGTGGACTCAAAGTGCTGGACAGAGCTTTGATACCCGGAGGAGTCAGACTGCTGGGAGATGCCACCCCGCCCCGCACACGCATTCGTGCACGCACACGCTGACAGACCTGGGATCTTACCCCGGAGGAGTCAGACTGCTGGGAGATGCCACCCCGCCCCGCACACGCATTCGTGCACGCACACGCTGACAGACTTGGGATCTTACTGCCAGGGACCCGGCAGCCTTGTCCCTCCCCTCGGTTACTCTCCCGGTCCTCCCCCTCCCTGTGTCACCTGGTCGAGATCCAGCCTCTGCCTCCTGCATGGCCAGACGTGCGGCCACTGGGGGAAGGACCAAGGACGTCGGGGACAGTGTTTGAACTCCTGACCTGGCCGCGGCAGCCCCACACGCACACCAGAGCTGACACACAGCGAGCCGCGCAGCCTGGCACGGGGCACACAGGTGGCACAGGAACCAGGGCGAGCCCCAGCGGGACGCAGGGAGCGTGCCCACGGCTGCTGCTCCCAGACGCCCAAACCAGCACTCCAGCTGCAGCGTTCTGCGCAAGGGGTCAGGTGCCCAAGGTGCGCCCTGGCGGCACGGACCACTTTTGGCCTTTCAGCCCCCTGACACACTCACACACACTCACTCACACACTAACCCTCGCACACTCACACACACTCATCTGCACTCACTCACCCTCACATTATAAACTCAGCCTCACGTACACACACACACTCAATCTCACTCACACTCACACACAATCACAATATGACTTTTTTTTATCAGGACCAGATTTGCCTGGTTAGAAGGTAGAACAGTAAGAAAAGCAATAATTTTTTTTTTTTTTTGGAGAGATTTTCACTGTAGGGCGCGTGCGCTCGCCAGACAGACAGAGAGAGACATAGAGACAGAAAGCGAGAAATCACCCCCCAGAGGGGATGGTCATACCGCAATCCCTTCTCCTCCATTCTCCTCTCGGGATCTTGGGCACGCACGCACACATGACCGGCGTGAGTTCTAAGCCACCGGGTCCGGGACACGAACCGCAGTCGACTACGTGGGAGTCCAGCAACATAGCCATTACGCCAACTGCTGGTTCCCAAAAAAAGCAATAATTTTGAGACTAATAGAAGAGTTTAAAAAAAACCTAACTAGTGTGACCAGAAGATGACATAATGGCTACATCACTGGACTCCCACGTAGTCAACCGTAGTTCAAATCCCAGATCCAGCAGCTTAAAACTCACGCCGGGCATGTGTGCATGCGTGCCCAAGATCCCAAGAGGAGAATGGAGAAGGGACTGTGGCGTGGCCATGCCCTCCGGGGGGTGGTTTCTTGCTTTCTATCTGTCTTTCTGGAGAGCGAGCACATGTGTCCAATAGCAAAAACCTCTATTAAAGAAAACAACAATAAAGTAAGCAGTTCTTCTGATTGAGAGATACTTGGTCTATTTCCTGTCTTCATAATTGCGTCACCCGCCAGCATTGGCTAAAACATACCTCAGACTAAACATTTCTCTCATGACCAATTACAAAACAGGCGTCTCACATCACTGCTGAGAGTAATTACTTAATTCTCAAGGCCCGTATCTGTTGAGGAAATCGGATTTCCAGCCCGTCCTTGCCCAGTGCACAGTCTAATTAGGAGAAGCCATTTCACAGCTGACTCTAACTGAGCAGGCGAGAGCATGCTGCCCGACAGGTGCCGCGACGTCTGCAGACGCTACTGCCGACAGCAGCCTTGTCTAACCCTCCTGTCCCTCACGAGAAGACGGAGACGCTGTCTTCAGGTGACGGTCATCTATAGATATGTGACGGCCGTAATTGCAAAACTGGCTTATTAACTTTAACATACTATAAAATTGTGCAAAATGTAACATTTTGGTTGTTTATTGAGGTGGGATAATCCTTGGCTTATTTATCTCTCCCATGAGAGAGACAGAGAGTGAGAGAGAGCAGCCCACTAGGATCCAAAAACTGTGACCGCCCCATGCTCTGGCCCACCCTGGACGTGGGCATGCACTCATCTGCCACAGGTGGGACGGCCTCCGACGCATACCCTTACCCTGTGGGCCAGCCTCTCACCCTGTGGGCCACTGACTGTCCTACGGTGCTCCTTAGAGCTCAGTTAGAACTCGACATTAAAAAGAAAAAATGAACAAAACAATGGGTTAGCCTGGATGCTGACTTTTCTATGTAAAATACTCTAATGGTCTTTTTCTTCTTAAAAATATGAATAGGGGTGGGGGCAGCAGGTGGTTAAGGCACTGGACTCCCACATGACCAGCTGTGGTTCGAGTCCTAACCTGACAGTTCGGGCCAGTGCAGGTGCACCCAAAGTCCCAGATATACGGTGTGAACACCCCCGGGGGGATTTCTCGCTTTCCCTCCCTTTCTCTCTCCCTCCAGCAAGCATGTACATTCTGTGTCAAAAATCTGAAGCAAACAAAGAAGATGAGGTAACAGAATCTCATCCCTTTCTGGTCTTTTTTTCTTAGAGATTTTGCTATGGGGATGTACGCTCGCCAGACAGAGAGCGAGAAATCACCCCCTAAGGGGGAGAGCCACGCCGCTGCCCCTTCTCCTCCATTCTCCTCTCGGGATTTTGGGCACGCACGCACATGTCCAGCGTGAGTTAAACTGTCAGGTCCGGAGCTCGAACCGTGGTCAACTATGTGGGAGTCCAGGGACAGACGTAACCATTATGCCACCTGCTGGTCTCTTTCCAGAACTGACGGGAGCACGGGTGGAAGCCGCGTCCTCCCGTCCCGGCTGCAGTAGCCCAGGGAGGACACCACTGACGGTACACTCCCTGCTGTGGACAGGGACAGGAGCACTGGACACCCTGACCCCACACCAGATCCAGGCCTGCAGCCGACACTGCATCTTGGGACAACACCCTGTAACCAGCGCGGGCCGGAAAGACTGACCGAGATCATGCTGGGCAGAAGCTCAGCAGGGAGCACAGCGTCTGCGAGGCCTCCCTGGACATGCCAGGCAGGCAGGCCCCGGACCCAGGCTGGACGGAGCTGGGGGCAGCACATGGGTCAGCGGGATTTAAGGAGGCTAAGGGGTTTTTTTGTTTCTTGGGTTTTTTTTTTTGAGAGGTTTTTGCTATAGGACCCATGCGCTCACCAGACAGACAGAGACCGAGAGACAGAAAGCGAGAAATCACCCCCAAGGGGGGATGGTCACGCCACAATCCCTTCTCCTCCGTTCTCCTCAGGATCTTGGGCACGCATGCCCATGCGCCCGGCGTGAGTTTTAAGCCACCGGATCCGGGACGCGAACCGCGGTCGACTACATGGGAGTCCAGCGACATAGCCATTATGCTAACTGCTGGTTCCCAGGAGGCTAAGGGGTTTTAAAAAATATTTTTAATGGATTATTATTATTTTAATTTGCCATAGGGCATGCATATACATTCACCAGAGAGAAAGAGAAAATGAGAAACCAAGTTGCCAGGTCCAAGACTCAAGCCATGGTCAGCCCTGTGGGGGTCGTTTCCCCCACCACACCACCTGCCGGCCCAGGACAGGCGTTTTGATGCGGTAGACTATAACCGAGTCCTCATGTCGTCCCATCTCGAGTATGCAAATGCTTTGTTACCAGTCCAAGAGTCGGTATGAGCCCCACTGGGTCCCGTCTCACACGAAGATAGAGCACACGCATACATGGCAGCGGCCAGCCCCGCACTCAGCACCTAAGAGCCGGCTCTCACGTGGACGGCCACAGAGCTGGAACTGGGTCCTGGCGACTTGAAAATTCCAGGGTTTGGACTGGCAGGTGGTGTAGGGGATAGGGCGCTGGACTTCCACATAGTCAACCGTAGTTCGAGTCCCGTGCCTGGTAGCTTGCTTTCTCACGTTCCTCCCCCTATCCCCCACTCTGGTCAAATTAAGCAAATAAAGGTAATTTTTTTTTTTTTTTGGACCAGAGGGAGACAGAGATAAAGTGAGAAAGCAAGCTGACAGGTCCAGGACCTGAACCACGGTCAGCCATGTGGAAGTCCAGCACTTTAACTACCATGCCACCTGCCAGCCCCAATAGTTACTTATTTTTAAGTACACTGATTATCACCAGGAAGACTTTCTTCTGCTCCTTGTAAAGTTTATCTCTTGAAAGAACAGAAAGCAGACTTTTTAGAAAGAAATTTATGTTTATTAGTAAAATTTTATATTACTTCAACATGTCTATCTTAATATAAAGAATGTATACTTTCAAATAGCAAAATTTTTAAGTCTTTTGCTATAGGGTGCACTCCAGAAAGAGAGAAAGCACTCCCCCAGGGAAGACGGCCACGCCACAGTCCCTTCTCTGTTTCCTCTCTGGAGTTAGGGCACACACACACATACATATAGCATGTTTCTCAAGCCATGTCCAGGACTTGAACCACACAGCTGGTTATGTGGGATCCAGCACCTTAACCACCACGCCACCTGCTGGCCCAATGAGGAGCAAGTATTTTAGATGTTTATTTAGTATGTTATTGAAATATTATAACGCTGTGTGTGTGTACGCTTCAGTTTGCTGTCGGGCACGTGAACTTGCTGGAAAGAGACAAAGTGAGGGACGCCACGCCACAGTCCCTTCTCCATCCTCCTCTCAAGATTTGGGCACACGTGCACATGAGTCTGGCATGTTTTTCCAGCTGCTAGGTCTGGGACTTGAACTGTGCAACCGGCCATTTGGGAGTCAGTTGTCATCAAGCCTTTTGTAACAGGAGTCTTGAAATGAAGAAAACATTAACAACATGCAGTGTGGGACGGGTCTGAGTGGGTGTGCGTACAGACACTCCGGGCCGTGTCTTTCTGTGAGGGAGGTTTGTCTTTAGACGTTTCTTTTCCACTCTTTTTCTTCTGGTTTTCTCCAGCTTGTTTCACAGAGTACTCGCTGAGGAGCTGGTTCAGCCAGGGCTCACACTGGCTCGCATGCTGCAGACCATCCTCCCTACCTGCAAGACAGCACACCTGGACCACCACTGCTGGCTGCCCCAGGCCATGTGGCATTGTGTGCTCTCCCACCGGGAGTCAGGGCTGCCTCCCACCATCCGCACGGGGAGTCAGGGCTGCCTCCCACCATCCGCACGGGGAGTCAGGGCTGCCTCCCACCATCCGCACGGGGAGTCAGGGCTGCCTCCCACCATCCGCACGGGGAGTCAGGGCTGCCTCCCACCATCCGCACGGGGAGTCAGGGCTGCCTCCCACCATCCGCACGGGGAGTCAGGGCTGCCTCCCACCATCCGCACGGGGAGTCAGGGCTGCCTCCCACCATCCGCACGGGGAGTCAGGGCTGCCTCCCACCATCCGCACGGGGAGTCAGGGCTGCCTCCCACCATCCGCACGGGGAGTCAGGGCTGCCTCCCACCATCCGCACGGGGAGTCAGGGCTGCCTCCCACCATCCGCACGGGGAGTCAGGGCTGCCTCCCACCATCCGCACGGGGAGTCAGGGCTGCCTCCCACCATCCGCACGGGGAGTCAGGGCTGCCTCCCACCATCCGCACGGGGAGTCAGGGCTGCCTCCCACCATCCGCACGGGGAGTCAGGGCTGCCTCCCACCATCCGCACGGGGAGTCAGGGCTGCCTCCCACCATCCGCACGGGGAGTCAGGGCTGCCTCCCACCATCCGCACGGGGAGTCAGGGCTGCCTCCCACCATTCGCACGGGGAGTCAGGGCTGCTCCCCACCCACACGCTGACCCTCCACCGCTGGCCCTTTGAGAGGCCCACACTAAACACACCCTTCCTCACCTTCACAGTGCTGGATCACGCGGCCCCACAGCCGGCTTCTCCTTAAGCAGGCTACGCTCCCCACGATCAGCAAGTGCCGCCTAGCTCTGGTCAATGCAACGTTCACTCTTTTTTCTGAATCGATGAAGCCCACCTGCCTCGTCCTCACGCAGGACAGAATGACGACGTCCTTCTCAGCTCCCTGGAAAGCGTCCACCGTGGACACCTGCACAGCAGTGACACTGGGCCGGCGGGGGTCTGTGGCACTGAGGATGTGACCAAGCTACAGGGGGCACAGACGGGTGACTGGCGCAGGGCCCAGGGCCACACTAGGGCTCTCAGCCTGCTCACGGCAGCCACCCCCGGAGAGTCATGGCAGGTGGCCCTCCTCTCTCCTCCCGACTTGCAAAGGCTTGACTAGATCATTTCTAAAGTGACAAACGCATGACTAGATGACAACGTTAGTTACGAAACCAAATCAAAAGTGATGATTTAGCTATTGCTGGGGGATTCATTTGAATATGTTAACTTGAACTGATAAATAAACTAATAATAAAAGCATGTGAAAAAATACTGAAAGAAAAATGAAAAAGGAAAATCTAGTTAAAATTGTGTCAGTGTGGGCAACCCATTCGGGAATCCTCCCTGCTTGGGAGCTCTGTTCTTCTTCCCTCTCTTAATAAACTCCGTTTTATTCTTAAAATAAAAAGCTGTCCCAGAGTACATCAGTGTCTGGGACCCATCCATAACTGACAGATGAACTATGACAGTAACGAAAGCATTTCGGGAAACAGATTCTACTCCATCTGTCCTAAGACACAAAGCATTCCCTGTGTTTTCTTCCCTCTAATTTGTTTATTTGCATTTTTGCCCCACCAGCTATAAACCGAATTTAATTAACCCTTGTTCAGTTGACATTTAATTATACGGAAACATAAAGCCAGACTGGGAAAGTTCCAGGAGGTTTCTCTTCCCAAGCACCGAAGCCAAAGCGAGCTGGTGCACAGCCGGCATGGAAGGCCGTAGCGCAACGCGGTGACAGACGGGCCAGCACCTGTGCACCGGGGTACCTTGCACATCTGGGATCTGTACAGGCTGATCACCCCGATCATGGCGCCCGCCACTCCACTTGCAACCAGGGACTGAACTAGCTTGAGCGTGAAAGCAGCCTCGGCCATGTTGTAGAAGCTGTCTCTCTCCATCTGAAGTGAGACACAGCTAAGTCGTATTTCCCAGGTAGCCGTGGGAAGACCAAGTGACCCACACGAACCACAGCCGGAAAAGGGGACCAGTCAGCGCTGGTGCCATCCGCAGCAGCAAGTACCTGCTCCAGCCCTTCCACGTTATAGAAGCACAGGGTCGGCAGCCACTCCAGCAGAGGGCGCCTCTCTGCCTCCGAGACGCCGTCCGTGAGTCGGCCCCCGTAGAACAGATCACTGGCCACCGCGCTGATGGCAGGGTGACAGCGGTACTGCGTGCCCAACACGACCGGCCTGTGACCCTGAGGAAAGGAAAGGCAGGACAGCAATTTTTTTTAAGAATTACTTTATCGGGGCTGGCGGGTAGCACAGTGGGTGAGGGTGCTGGGTTTCCACATGGCTAACTGTGCTTTAAGTCCTGAGCCCGGTGTGGTTCAAATCCCGAACCCGGTGCCTTACTTTCTCACTTTCTCTCTCTCTCTCTGTCCCTCTCTGGTCAAACTGAAATAAAGATACACAGAAAGAAAAGAAGAAAGAAAGAAAGTTAGTTAGTTAAAATAAAATAATTCTTAAAAAAAAAAAAAAGAATTACTTTGTCTATGTTTATTATTTTTTTAAATTTGGAATAGAAGATGTGTACTCACCAGAGAGACAGAGAGACAGAGAGAACAAGCGAGGAGAAGTAAGAGAGCAAGCCACCAGGTTCAGAGCTAGAACTGCAGGAGCCATGAGGGAGCCCAGCACCTTAGCCACCATACCGTGTGCTGACCCAGAAAATAAGCGATTATGAGATAACTTTCTTTTTCTTTAAATTATTTATTTAATTTTATTTGTTCATTTATTTTAATTTGACCAGAGAGAGACACAAAGAGACGAGAGGGAAAGTGAGAAAGCAAACCACCAGGTCCGGGACTCGAACCATGATAGACCATGTGGGAGTGTCCAGCACCCCAACCACCACACCACCTGCTGACCCCCAAAGATAACTTTCTTTAGGTAAAGAAAAACAATACTTTAAAGAGTAATAGTACAGCTATATTGTGGTGGTCTTTGAAGAGAAGTCACAACAAGGATGAAATAAGACTATAAATAAATTTAAAAAAAAATTTTTTTTTTGGAGAGGTTTTTGCTATAGGGCATGTGCACTTGCCAGAAAAAACAGAGAGAGACAGAGAGACAGAAAGCGAGAAATCACCCCCTGGGGGGATGGCCACACCGCAATCCCTTCTCCTCCATTCTCCTTTCGGGATCTTGGGCATGCACGAACATGTGCCCAGCGTGAGTTTAAGCCACCGGGTCCAGGACTCGGAATACCTGGGAATCCAGCAACGTAGCCATTATGCCAACTGCTGGTCCCACACACATACCCTTATAGCAAAAACATAAAGGAAAAAAAAGGTCAGTTTTATGCTAGGTGAATCTTACCATTTAAAACTATGTAACTAGGAACAAGCAAATCCCCTATAATAAATTAAAAATAATAATAAATAACATAAAATAAATAACTCTTCAATAATAATAGTAATAATGGAGCCAGCAGGTGGCATGGTGGTTGAGGCATTGGACTCCCACGTGGCCAATAATGGTTCAAGCCCTGGATCTGGCAGCTTTCTCTCTGTCTCTCTTTGGTGAGTACATATGCACTTTTGCAAATTAAAAATAATTAACAAAATTAAATAAACTTTTTTAAGGTTTTTTTTTTTTTTTTAGATTTTGGCCATAGAACACATGCGCTTACTAGAGAGAGACAGAGATAGTGAGAGGTAAAATAAGAAACCCCTCGCCCCAGGGAGGATGGTCACGCTGCAATCTCATCTCCGTTTTGTGTTTCAAGCTGCCCAGGTCCGGGAATAAAACCACAGTTGGCTGTGTGGGATCCGGCCTCTTAAGTATCCTGCCCCTGCTGGCGCAAGCCCTTACTTATCCCTGACACGAGTGCTTCCTACACAATTCCAGTCAGAACACATCTGAAGGCAGGGCCTAGGTCTAATGCTCTCATCCACTCCCCCCGGCCCCAGTACGCTGTCCGTAGTGATGGCTGGGTGACCCAGTGGTGTGCACCATTAAGCAAAGTCGGTCGAAGAGTGTTTGCTCCAATCCACTCTCATGAGCCGCATCAGAGCCCTGAACAGTAGGAGGCAGCTGCTTGGGGTCCCCAACAAGAATCAGCTTTTCACACTCAAACCTAAAAGCAGAATTTCAAAAATTACTATATGCAAGGGAAGAAAGGTGTGCTAATGTCATCGAGTGCACTGTCCTCCGAACCGTGGTTCAGAGAGTTCAAATGCCAAGAAGTGCTCTGAGCACCAGGCTCCTCCCTAGTGCCACAAGGACATTAGATCTCTGAGAGTGACGTGGGGAGAACCCTGCCCGTAGCGTCACTGCTTCCCCACAGAAACCTGTTCAATGACACGGCCCTCTGCATGTGACACCAGCTCACAGGATACACCCGGATAGTCCCGAGCTCTTGGAATTAGAGGCATTCTTAGAAGTCATTTGGCTTAGGGGCTGGCAGGTGGCGTGGTGGTTCAGGACACTGGACTCCCACATGACCAACCGCAGTTCAAGTCCTGGACCTAGCGGTCTAATTTCTCACCTTCTCTCTCTCTCTGTCTCTCTCTGGTCAAATTATAAATGAATGAATGAATTAATTAATGAATAAATAAATAAAGTCCAATACAATAATTAAAAAAAAAAAAAGTCGGGACCAGCAGTTGGCGTAATGGCTGTGTCGCTGGGCTCCCATTTGGTCAACCGCGGTTTGAGTCCCGGACCTGGTGGATTCAACTTATGCCGGGCGTGTGTGCATGTGTGCCCAAGATCCCGAGAGGAGAATGGAGAAGGGACTGCGGCATGGCCATCCCCTCCTGGGGGGTGATTTCTCACTTTCTGTCTCTCTTGGCCTTTTTGGCACCCTGTAGCAAAAACCTCTCAAAAAAGAAAGCCATGTGGTTTTACGTGTCCGCAATGAAGGTAACCAGGCTCTGGGGGCTCTTTCTGCACAGGAGCAGGACACGGTGGGGAAAAGCAGCAGCGCGTCTCTGTCTGCCCCCCCTCAGCGCGCTGTGACCCTTGTGGGAACATGGAGCCGGGCCAGCACGCGGCGGGTGCTCAGCAAGCTGTCCTCCTCTCCTCTCCTTTCGCTCCACCCTCCTGACTCCTGGTGATCAGCTCACCCTAAGAACCGGAACCCCCGATCGGGAAACTCCATCCCCAACTGACCCTGTACCCTCTTC